GGCAGGACACCCTGACCCTGCTGCGGCGCGGAGGGCGCAACAGCTACGGCTCACTGCGTTTTAGTATTTCACTGCACAACCCTGGATTTTGTATCTTAAACTCAATAAAAACGGCTCAGGGAACTTCAGCAGGTCTCCGTTTTTTTTCTCTTTCATCCCTCATCAGTACTTGGAATTCTTTATTATGGTTGTTGGTGCCATGTGCTGGCTTGCCTTATTTCAGTGTAGAAAGCATCTACAAAGGCTCTTCCTGACTTCAAAAGAAGTGGTAAAGGAACGAGACAAATCAATATATGCACTTTAACTTGGCTCTCTCTGCAGAGCCCTTTGCCGGCGGTTGGCAGGCCCATGCCCCGGCCCCGGCAGGGCTGTGCCTGGCCACCAATTCGATGCCTCTGGCGTGCCCTCTCGTGGCGTCCCTGAGAGTCCCTGAGGGGCCAAGGGCACGCGGGGCACCCAGCAAGCCAGGTCGCTCACCCCTTGTACAGGGGGTGGAAGGCAGCTCTGTAGCTGGAGGCCTGCCCTGTGCCTGTTATCGCTGTGCCTAAACTGCTGCAAACAGTTTGCATTTGCCAGCACTCGCCCTTGAGGTGGGACGAGCAGGGACCAGCCCTCCCCATGCTCATCATCAGACTTTGCCTTTCTTACCTGCTGAGGTTTATTGTGCCGCTGTTTCAGATGGCTGGACCTGAAGGAAAGGTGGGTGCCAGCTGCTGATGCCTGTGCAGGGTGGGCCAGGGAGGAGCCCAGTTACCCAGCAGAGCTGGTCAACGCGAGGTTTGCCACAAGCTGGGAAAAAAGCAGCAAATACGGAAACGCAGTGATAATTTTGTCTGTCTGCCAGCTGATTTGCACACTTAGGGAAGTGTCAGGACTGTTTCCACACAGCAAGAAGGAGCCCTGCGGCATCCCTCTCCCCGCTTTCCTCTGCTGTGGCTGGTGAGACCATGACGCTGGGGCAGCTGTGTCCCTGCAGCCCTTGGGCACCTTTGGCAGGGCACCTCCTGGCAGCCCTCAGCCGGGCTGCTTGGCTGCGGGGTGCCCTCACTCTTGATTTTAGCACCGTGCGATTTTCTGCTGCTTGTAAATGTGCATGCATTTAAGACCCGTATGATGCAATGCATATTGTTTTGTTTTGGACTGGGCAATCGTTGTCTTTGAATTCTACTGTTTTTTAAACAGTACTGCCGTTCTGCTAGGAAGTGAGAGGTTCATCCCCATTCCAAACTCAGGGCGTGGGGGCTTGGGCATCCTCCAGCGCGGCTGCGGTGCCTCACTGCCGCTGCCGCAGAGCCAGCTGGCAGCTGCCAAGCCAGGCACGGGCCCTCGGTCAAGGGCATGAAGCACCTCCCTGGTCCCCTTTGCCTGTGTGTGCCTGACCCAGAGCCTGCAGGAAAGCTGTCCAAAGAAATTAGGGCCAAATAGAGACTGTGTTCGTGCCCCAGTGGTTTCATTTCCCATAGGCTCTAGCCGCGTTAGCAGGCGGCTGGCTCTGCTGGGACTCTGCTCAGCATCTCCTGGCACCAGGAGAGCTGCAGAAACGGTCTCAGCCCCATTCTGTGCTTTAGGAGGCTGGGGTGACCGGACAGCAGTGCCGGCTCCATGTTTGGGAATTTGCTCCCTGATGGAGGAGATAAAGTAAACCCTCCCTTCAAAGGGGAAGGGGCAGACGGATTTCAGCCCTCAGCTGGCGAGGTGAATGGAGGGACCAGCCCAAACCACTTCTGCAGGGTGATGCTGGGAGAGGGGACAGCATTTCCAGCTCCTGCCGGGGTCCCCACTGTCCCAAGGTACCTTTCACTAACGAGCCTGGCTGTGGGAGACACGGATATTTCCAGGGCAGAGATCACAGAACTTCCCTTGCTAAGGGCTACCTAGCTGGGGGTACTGGGGGTATCCCTGTCACTCCATGGATGTCTGGGCAGTTGGGAGAGGTCACTGCCAGCAGACTGTAGCTTTTACCTTTCCCATTCCTTATGCAGTTTCCACTGCCACCACTTTAAAACTCTAAAACTCTATTTAGAAAGAAAGAAAATAGATGTTCAGTAGTCTTGGTGCAATTGCAGGAAAAAACAGAAAACCAACACATGAAATTAAATAGTTTGTTTAAAATTAAAGTATATGAAAAAATGCATTTCCATATACGTTTGATGCAGGAATTACTACAGTTCATTGCATTAAGCTATGAGATGTAGGTCAGATCAGATAATAAAAAAAAAACATTAAAAAAATCCCTTGTTTAAATGTGTGAATTCAGATAATAATGCATTCATACATATTTAACTTGTGGGTGGCCTACGAGCACCTGTGATGAGGTTTCACGCCCATCAGGCTTTGTGCCATCTCCGATCAGCCCCACCCAGGCCCCTGTGGGACGCAGCTCTGGGCAGGGGGTGGGTCACCGCTGCCCCGCCACCTTCCACCCCGAGGTCTGCAGGACAGCCCATCCCCGCCACGGCTCGGCACGCGGATGGCCCCGGCGCTTTCTGCAGCCACCCCCCCCGGCCCCTTTCCCTTACCGGTATTACCTGCCTACCTCGTGGGCTGCCTCAGTCCCTCCAGAGAAAAGGGTTATAACCATTACAGACATCCTGGGCATTTATGACAGTACTGGACATTTATTTTCATCTAAGTTACGTGTCCAGAGCTGCAGAACGGTATGATTTCACCTTTCACCTATGGAGCAGATGCTTGCTCATGTTTCCACAACTCTGTTGTTCCCTTTCTTGCTCCCTGCTTTCAGACAGAGCTGGAAACCACAGTATGACATTGCCTGAGGAGAATCTGCATCTCACAGACACGTTACAGCATCTCTTACTGCATCTGCATCTCACAGGCATTGGAAGCGTTGTTGACCTAGTGGGAAAAACCAGACCACCCTCATGGTATTACAGCTTTATTTGCAAACCAAAGGCTTTTGGCGTGCAGGCTGGCTGTGTGACACCAAATCTGATCGAGCAGCTCTTGGCAGGCGTGCCAGGCCTAAGCAGAAGGGTGGGATTCTCCATTATTCCTACATAGCTAATAATAAGCCTCTTGCAAAGGGGAGTACAGTAACCTGCAAGTCATGAACTGATGTTACAAACCTCCATGCATAAAAACCCAAAGGAAGAAAACACAAAAATTGACTAAGCTGGATGAACCACTTCTATCATTTTATGATTTCCAACAAACTTTATTCAAAGCAAGGAACAGAAAACGAATGGCGAGCCATTCTGTTAGAGGTACATGCATAGCTTTGTGGCAAAGAGGTTCACCTTTACTGTACATACCTTTAAATAGAATAAACGGGCTATAATAACCTTTATAAAAGAGTCTGTCATATGCAACTGGCCTTCAAACAAGCCTTGTTATTGGTATAAGACTTACACTCGGTTCTTGAAAAACTGTATAAATAATCTTTAAAAAACAAGTCTAACAGAAAGACTACAGCCCACCCGCATGTCTGCCGCGGCTCGGAGTCCCAGGAGCAGCCAGCACCCGCCCCACCCCAAGACGTGGGGCGCCTGCTCCCACCCCACTGACGATGTGTAGGGGCAGACGGACGTGCTGCCATCCCACACAGCTCCACTGGCTCACGGGAGCAGCGATGGTGACTCCCGGAGCACGGCCAGGGTTGCGCAGTGAAATGGTGTAGAGATCTGCTCGGGGGTGCTGCAAACAGACGAGATGCAACTCACTGTATTAAAACCATACAGATTCAGAAGTGTTTATCGGTTAAAAGTCCTTCGACTACAAAGGGCACTCAATGCTACTAGAAAGGAGCGTATTCCAGCCAAAATGCACCTTCATTTTCATCCTGGCCACAAACCAGCCAGCAGCACAGCTGAGCACGCTGCCATGTGTACATCTAGGTGCCCGCATGCACAAGGTAAGGGCTTTCTGAGTAGCTAGTGAAGAAATACAGACTGGGAGAAATCCAGATGGGAGCGCTACCTCTCGGGAGGGTTACTCTATTTTCTACCTATGAAAAGAAGGGGCTGGGGCAGCTGACGAATGCTCTATTTTCATCCTGAGCTTGAGGGCAACCCACCGTCCCCTTCCCAGCTGGACCCAGCCCACGCGGAGGGAGAGCGCAGCCCCCATGCTGCCCCGCCGGCGCGGGGGCCGTCAGGACAACGAGGTGATGTTGGACCGTCCACCCGGCGGGGCGATGATTTTCTGAGCCGTGCGTCTGGCAATGTGGTCGTCTGCCTGCGACCCTAGGGAAGAGGACAGGCATGGGGTTCGGTGTCGGCGCAGTGTGAGAGTCCCGCTGCTTTAAATGCACAAATCATAAAACGTTCCCTTTGTGGGAATACTAGTGTTTTCATTATATATAATTTCGGATGCTGTATTATCATAGTACAGTTTGGAATGGCTTTATTTGCCTGAATGACTTTATTTTTTATTGCTTCTTTCTGGAAAACATTGTAAGTTGCTTTCCTGTAAATAAACAGTTTCTATATAATAAAATGTGGGACCTTCTACATTTATTAAACAATATATGATCTATCTGATTTCAACCAGCTAAGAAAACAAAATTATTAAAGTCATTTTATGGCAGAGCATTGGCTTTCCAAGGTCCCTAAAGCTGCCAGGCAGATTTCTGCAGGATGCTGGGCTGAGCGATGCTGAATCGCTGCCTGCTTACGCAGAAAGACTGATGAAATTATCTTTTTGGTTCCTGAAAATGGAGTTATTTGACTAATCTCTACAAACCCAACCACTTCTAATCCCTGACTCGCAGGGGACGCAGCCAGGGCTGAAGTCGTGACCCCCCGACAGCCAAGGCAGCGTCCCCACTGAGCTGGGCAGGGCCATGGTGACACCCTCACCTTCAGTCTCGTCCTCCTGCTCCCCGCGGCTGCAGCCTCCCCCCTCCGTGGAGCCTGTACTCACAGCCGCCTCACAGCCCCCTGCCAGGCTTTGCGATATATGTTCATCAGTGCATTTACATAGATACTCTAAAACATTCTAGAGATTTATGTGCTGCATTTAGTCCCTAGGCTGATGCAACAGTAAGAATTGCTTTTTACCGAGCAAAAATTAAGTTTCTATTCCTCAGCTTTGCCCTGCTGCTCACACAAGCCCAGGACTTTGTGACACCCATGCAAACCAGCCCCCCACCGCCTACAGCCCCCAACTTTTTGGGGGACCCGGGCCCTACCAGACAAGCTGAACCCCGACTGGTGGAGGTTGCGCACGGGAGGAGCCTGGGCTTTGCCTGCACAGGGCACAATCCTGGACGCCGGGGTGGGGGCCATGGCTTTGGCACTCGTGAGGACATCGTGGACCGGTCCGTCATACAGCCCTCTGGGGACACCGTGGACTTCAGCCAGCTACAAGGTGGGGAGTAAGAGACACGTAACGTGCGTATTTAAGCTCAGGTAAACAAGAACCAGGCCGAACATATGGGTAATAATTGGTTGTCCTTCTGTCTGTGCTTAACCCCTTACTGAGGGTTTTTGGGGAGGCTGCACCCCCAAACGGACCAGACCAAATGCCTCCCCAGGGAGAGGGCAGCCCAGGCAGGACAGGCCAGCCGGTGGCACTTCCCACCCTCAAAGCCAAGCAGAGGATGCTGACCGGACCCCGTGGGCAGAGGTCCTGTCCCCCCAGGAGAAGGAGCTCCAAGAGGTGGCCAGGGGGTGCCCACTATGTGAGGGGCCGAGCTCCCCTGAGGGCAACGTGCCCTAGCTGGTGTCACCCAGTGCGACCATCATGTCCTCCTGCAGGGAGGATGAGCTCAGCCCTGGGCACTCACGGCTGTTAGGGGAGCCAAAGCCATAACAACTTTGTTACCAGTGTTTCATCAGGGATTTCCTTAAGGCTGTTTCTCTTCCCAGGCGAAGCAGCGACAGCCCTTTGACAACCACAGGGTCAGAAGGGACTTGTTTTGAAGATGAAAATTGCTGGGTTTCAAATTAAAAAGGCACGGACGATGGGTTATCAAGAAGTATATGGCATTTTCTGTAGAAATGTTTCTCTTACATGACCTTTGTCTTCATCATACTGAATATCTTGTAAAGAAAATACCCTGCTCAGTGTTTCCCAGCGCTCTTTTTGACCGTAGCTTTTGTCAAAAGCTCTGGTTAAATCACGGATGGAGAGCTGGCACGAGCAGGCCCCCAGGCTGTTTCCAAAGTGCCGAACGTGCCTGCCTGAACGCATTAACTGAACAAACAAACCCCTCACCGCCTGGGCTGACACCCAGTTATCATCCCGCCAGAGCAGCTCACTGTGCGTCAAGGTTTGCTTAGCAAACTCCGTCCTTTACGATAAAAAATACGGCACAGGGTGTCTGCTTCCACAGCGGACAGAGATGCAGCTCGATCACTGACAAGGAGCCCAGGGACCCTCTGCCCCAGCCAACGGGACGGGCCAGCCTGCCCCACTGCTTCTCTGTGCGTGAAGGGGGATGCGGGACGTGCCAGGGAAATGGCACGTCCAGGCCACCATTGGTGCTGCCAGGGGGAGCGGAGATGGCTGCCCACCGCCAGGCAGTGCCATGGGGAGACCCGGCCTCCCACAGGGACCTGGCAGGCTCCCATCCATCCTGTAGGGACCTGGCAGGGTCCCATCCCCATCCCACCCTGACTCCAGAGGCACCCCAGGAGGCACCCCAGGAGCTGGGGGTTACTGCTGCCAGTGCCACTGGTGCATCTGCAGGTAATTTGGGGTTAATGATTTCTGCTCTACCTTCATCTACAATGCATAATGAAAATGTCTAAAATAACACACAGAAAAAGGAAGGAGGGCAGAGCTGTTAAGAAGCTTTTTATATATTTGCACGTCTTCGTATCTCCTAAAAAAGTCGTGTGTCCTGGTTTCGGCTGGGATAGAGTTAATTTTCTTCCTAGTAGCTGGCACAGTGCTGTGGTTTGGATTTAGGATAAGAACAATGTTGATAGCGCACTGATGTTTTAGTTGTTGCTAAGCAGTGCTTACACTAGTCAAGGACTTTTCAGCTTCTCGTGCCCTGCCAGCGAGAAGCTGGGAGGGGGCACGGCCAGGACAGCTGACCCAGACTGGCCAAAGGGATATTCCATACCATATGACATCATGCTCAGTATATAAACCAGGGGGACTTGGCCAGAGGGTGGTGACCACTGCTCGGGAACTGGATGGACATTGGTCAGCGGGTGGTAAGCAATTGCATGGTGCATCATTTATTTTTTATATTCTTTTGTCATTATTATTATTATTAGTATTATTATTTTCCCTTCCTTTTCTGTCCTATTAAACTGTCTTTATCTCAACCCACAAACTTTAATTTTTTTTCCTGATTCTCTCCCCCATCCCACTGGGTGGGGGCAGGGAGTGAGCGAACGGTTGTGTGGTGTTTAGCTGCCTGCTAGGTTAAACCACAACACTTACACACACAAATTTACCACAACTCTCATTCTTTGCAAGATATTTATTATCTTGTACTTCCAGTAACTACCGAATGCTTCATCCATTAGTTTTTGACACATGCAAAGCAGATACTGGTAATACAATAACATAAACTTTTCTAATACAGGTAGGAGAGGAATTCCTCCCTTCTACCTCAATGCAAACCAAACAAAACCAGATTTGCTAGAAGTCATATTTTTGCTTTATAACTTTATAATAGGCAAGTAATACTAATAATACTAGTATTATTAGTTATAATACTAAAATAGGTATTATTGATTAATGTGCCAAGCCACACACCAAAGCAGTTACATGACAACATTACAAATTTCCAAGGCCTAAGAAGAAATAATATTAATAATATTCTTGTTTCTGTTGCCTATTCCATCGGGAAGCTTACTATAACAGTGACTGCAATACAATAATGCAGAGAGATTGCAATGAAAATACAGGATTACTGCAAATAAAATTCTCCTTACCCTGTTTCTTGCCTTTATCCTTTTATAAACAAAATCAGGGAATGTCTTTCTAGGAATGAAGCGACCTGACCCCTGGGTGACAAACAGGTTTCCATCTTCAAGAACAACTCTTCCTTGACTTATGACCACAGTAGGAACCCCGTGGCACTCTGTGCCTTCAAATATGTTGTACTCCACATTCTGGAAAGAACAAACCAAGATACTCAATACATTTAAGATTTAAGAAGAGAAGGTGACAGTCTAGCCAACTATACACCCCCCTCTCCCCATTTTTGTACATTGCTCCTCATGCACAATTGTACTTAACTAACCCTTTACATTTCAAATAATGAAGTTCTTCTAATTGGATGAACTAAGCAAACTGGAATGGAGAAACTAAATCCTCAAAACACTCAGTACTTGCCCAGAAGACATGCAGCATTCCTGGAGCAAACTAGACTTTTACTATACGCAAACAATTAATTCTCTCTAAGCCCCAGAAGAGCTCTGCTTAAGTTCTCCATTTGGGGACAGAAGTTCTTGTCATTTCTTCCAAGTCACTGCAAGTCTTCTACCAAAACAGATATGGAAAGTCAGGTCTGTTTTGTGGGAAATGCAAAATTGTGCCACTTTCTTCAAATACTCCCATCACTATCACTAACAAACTATCAAAAAAATAAACTTTACAGTGAAAAAATGTGGCATTATAAAAAAGCAAAAGTGAATTTTCTGGACCAAAAAATAACCTGTTCCTCTTTTTTAAAGAAAAGACCTGAATATTTCAATCATGATGATAATTTTCTTCAATAAAAAACATTTTGGTGAAAAAAACCCATAGGTCAAAATGTTTCTACAGTAACTTCAATCAGCTCTGTCGCCAGCATTCCTCACAACACCTCACTCTCCCCTCTCTTTCAACTGCAGCTTTCTGTCCGAGGCTCATGTTGGAAATTAGTTTGGGCATGTCCACGCCCTGGAAAACCCTGGCTAAAATGCCATTAAGATGCACCCAAATCTCTCCTGACTGAGTGACCCCTACAGACAGGCAGTGTCCGTGCAGCCCGTGCAGGAATGGGTCTGGCTCTTCAGGAAGGATGCCGATATATTAAACTGATATAAAGCTGATACAAAACAAGTTCAGCACTTACATTTTTCTAGTACACAGCGAATACATTGATCTTAAAATTTCTGTACCAGATGCAGACTTCCTCAGAGTAGTCACTGCTAGTCAGTTACAATCCTACCCTTTACAGTAACCGAAGGATATTTTCATTTGCTTTTATTTTTAAAAGCAAATGCAAGGTCCTTCATCACTTCATCCACATAAACAGCTCCTCCCTTGCTGAATGATCTGACCTGAAGAAATACATTGCTTTACTGCTCTCTTCTGACACTAAAATCAGCTCAAGAAAATAATTTCAAAAATATTTTACCAGATTGTGGGTTTTTGCTGAGATGATTTTAGTAGCCTTGGGGTTCCACAAAACCAAGTCCGCGTCAGCGCCCACAGCGACACGCCCCTTCCTGGGGTAGCAGTTGAAGATCTTGGCAGCGTTGGTACTGGTCACTGCTACAAAATGGTTCTCGTCCATCTTCCCGGAGACCTGGGGAACAGAAGGAAGGAAGGACCATCACCGGAGACGCGCCCTGCTCCCAGAAGCGGGCAGCAGCCCCATCCCCGTGGCCGGACCCGT